GAATTTTGAAAAAAATCTCAAAAACGAATAAAGGAAAAACATTAACTTTCAAACTTAAGTTTTATTTCGGCTTGACGTGAAATGGTTAGATTTTGGACAAAGTCGAAACATCTGGCGGGTGCTTTATGGGAGGCCGTTTTTATATTTTATGGAATATATCTGTTATTTATGTTTGGAGAAGAAAATTGTTCAATTAAAAGTTACTTCTAATATTATTACCTATAATTTTTGCTTGATGTCAAAATTTCCTGAAATGGTCCGTATTCAAGAAATTTTACAAAATGTGCAAAATTCTGATATGAAAATTGTTGAACTAAAAGTTGTTTGCGATATCGATCTCTATAATTATTTTTGTTCTTACATGATTTTTCTAAAATGGACCGTAATGGAAAAACTGGAGGAAAAGTGCTAAATTAAAATTTTTTAGTATTTTCGTTTTCAAAGAATATCTATAGAAAAATGTTTCGAGTTAGATGTATGTGGAAAATGTATATATTTAGTTTATCCTCTAAACATTTATAGAGGTGCTACAATAGGTTATACAAAATAACCGGAAAAAGCCTATAATAACTAGATAGGAAAGTTATGTGTTGGACACATCAGATTTTTAATATAGCCAAAAAACACATTACAACTCAGTCGGTATTACAGACTTAAATAATTTTCACAAAAGTGTAAAACGACATGTAAATAGCAAATCTCATATAAGTGCTACAATTAAAGAAAAAACATTCAGGACCTATCGCATTGAACATAGTTTGGACAATCATTTAAAAATAAGCAACAAAATTCACAATGAAATGGTAAAAAAAATAGGGTCGTCTTACAACGAATAATAGATGTAACTTGTTTCCTGGGAGAGCATGAACTAAGTTTTAGGAGTCACAATGAAGCAAGTGGATCCGCCAATCGAGGAAATTACATGGACCTTCTAAGTTTTTTAGTAAAATACGATGATACCCTAAAAAATCATTTTATTAATTCGACGACTTTCCGAGGTACCTCAAACAAAATCCAAAATGAATTTATTAAATGCACTGTCGACGTTGTGATGGATCACTTTAAAAGTGAAATTAAAAAAGCACCTTTCGTATCAATTGCGCTTGATGAAACCACAGATGTAGCAAACTTAAGTCAATTATCCATTGTTGTGCGATATGTATTGGATGGCATTCCTCAAGAGCGATTCTTAGGATTTTTGGACGTCACTAGCGAACGAACTGCAGATGCATTGTTTAAAATTGTTTGTGACATTATTTCAAGTTTAGAATGTGGTTCTAAGCTTGTTGCCCAGAGCTACGATGGTGCTTCCGTAATGGCTGGCCATTTAAGAGTCCTTCAAGCTAAAGTGAAAGAGAAGTTCAAACATGCAATTTTCGTTCACTGTATAGCACATAGACTTAATTTAGTTTTATCGCGGAGCATGAATAATATTAAAAATTGCAAAGTTTTCTGTTCGATGCTTAGTGGTTTGGCTTCCTTCTTTTCAAAGTCGTCGAAAAGAACTCGCGCTTTGGACATTCACGTTCAAAAAAGGTTTCCAAAAGTTGCTCCGACGCGATGGAACTACAATGGACGTTTAGTGCAAAGAGTGTTTCAATACGGTGATTCTTTGATACACTTTTTTCAAGACGTTTGGGATAATAAAGAAACATGGGATGCTGAAACTGTTACTGCCGCTAAAGGGTCTTTGCATTGGCTCAAACAAAACTTTGATTTAAATTTTTTTCTCAACATTTTTGCAGAGATTTTCCCTTTTACTGACATTTTATTCGACATTTTGCAGACAAAGTGAAATGAGATTGGCTTTTGCATTAAACAAATTGATGATTTTAAAAATAAAATGAATAAAAAACGAGATCAGTTTGAACACTTTTGGAATAAGACTCAAAATATTGGCTTAGAACCTGAAAGAAAGAGAATTAGAATTGATAATGTCGGCGACAGAGAGACCTCCTATCGTCGATTATACGCCGAAATTTTTGATAATATTTTACAACAAATGAACTCACGATTTCAAAACTTTAACGAATTAAACTAAAATTAAATTATGGAAATTTTTTCGATATTCCAGCAATAAAGTCCACGTTAAGTGTTGTTCATGAAACAACTGAAATTGGTGATAAAAAGACGCCCATCAATGTGTTAAATTTTCTTATAACTGGTTTAAATAAGTCCCTTTGTGAAGTCGTCAAGTTTTGTGAATTTAGTACTAACCATCCCAGCCACAAGTGCGTCAGTTGAGCGAAGTTTTTCAGCTTTAAAGCGCATTAAATGTTTTATACGAAATTCAACAACATATCCATTGGCGATGTTATAGACAAATTTGCAGCCATTGAGGATAGGCGAATAGATTTAAGTATAAATAAATGTCAACTGCTGTGTCAACTGTGCGAAAAATGCTGGAAAAAATAAAAAAAAACTTCAGTTAAATGATTTTTTTACGTTTAAATAAACCAAGGAAGCTTTTCAATGGTACGTTTTTTTATAGCTTCTAGTACTAAACTAGGTAATAGAGTAATAGTAACACTTCAAAAATCTCAATCTCGAATATCCGTAGTACTGAGGAAAAAAGCAAGATTTTGACAAAATGGTGAAGGCGCAGCGAAAAATTTTTGCCTGTGCTTACTGGCCTGCTGTATTTTTATACAATCGCTTCCCCTTCCAAAAATGTCACCGCACGCCACTGGAAGTTACATGGATGAAAAAACCAAAAAATTTGTTCTCTTTCGAAAAAATCGACGGGTTTGAGTTTTTTTCCGATTTTCGTTTTAAAGCCGGAAAAAATAAAGTTGTCGTTGGCCCACCCTGTATGTTAATTTTAAATCCGCCCATAATTTAAAAAAAACAAATTGGTAAACTTATGATAACTAATCCCGGTCTCCCTTACTTCAATTAAAAAAAAAACATTCATTTTATTTCTGTAAGATTTTGTAAAAGTGGAACTAAGAAGGAAAAATTCGATTATAATGTATTTTTATTATAAAAATCACAATACTTCATGTAATTTAGTTATAAACTTAACAGTGAAACCAAAACTTAGAATTATAGTCCATTCAAATCAAAGAGTTAGGCGCGTAACACTCATCAATCGCAAGCAATTTATGTTAATATAATAAAACATTTTTTGTTTACGTGTTTTATTAATTTTGAATATATCTGAAGTAATACAATTCATTAATACGGTCATGGCAAATATTACTGCCCACGTGCATTTGTTTACGCTCCTGACTTTTAGATCTAGATATACTTATATTACATATTGGTATATATTATAGTATATACTATAGTATTAAATATATTTAAACTTAAAACGTTAGCTGCGATTCACATTACACTGAAAAAGGATGCAATACGGTTTCTGATAAGCAATGTATTTTAAAGGGTAAAAGCTAAATGATCAACGAGTCTCGCTTTACCGTAAAATATGTTTTAGATAATTAGTAGTTAGATGAGGATTAGAATCTGTACTCGAGAAGAAAACGTAAGTATTTTATCTGTATTCGCAAAGCATTTTAAATATTTACCTACTTGTAAATCCTTAAGACAGAAAAGTCAAAGTCAATTCAAAAAAAGTAGAGTTGGACGAAGTCTTGATGTTAAGTCACACTTTAAATAGTTACTGCTAATAAATGAGGTTGTGTTTCCTCAAAATATTAAAGTAAATATTCATTAATATTTTTTTTTAAAGCATTATTTAATAAATCAATAAAAAAACATATAATGTCATTTTACCAAGAAAAAAATGATTAAATTACAGTCCCTGAAATATCGCCCAACTGTATTGGATCTCTATCTATAACCCAGAGTTACTCATTGCATCAAATTTTTCATCAAGACTCGTGCATGAGATTTTTTCTCACATTTTAATAACGCCTGTAAATTGTGTTGCAAATTAATACCAATAAAAACAATTGTGTATAGAAATTCAAACATATTATATTTTCAACAAAAAAATAATCGTCTTTTGCTGCAAATAAACATATAATTTTGGTAATAATATATAAAGTAATCTTTTTTTGCTAATAAAACTTTGAAATTCCAATTAACAATAGAAATTAAACCAAATGAATGAGTGGAAATGAACACTGATTTCAAACATTGTCATTCATTCACTATCGCCTTTTGATATTGTTGCACCTCTAGTTCTTCACTAAATAATAATTATATCAGTGTAAATTTAATAAGACTGCGCAGTCGTCAATAATGCTAAAAAAAATCCGCCGATTCTTCGTGAAATTTTGTATCACGAAAACTCACGCGATGTAAAATAATTCTCACTACTCTTCTCTTACTGCAGGTATAATTACTTAAAGAGCATTCTATCGACCTACAGATACTAAATTCGCAATAACTTTTTATAAATTCATAATATATTTATTTGTGATTTTCACTAAAATACGGGATAATAAATCTATTATTGCGGTTACGGTGTATATTTTCTTTATATCAAGTTACATTTTTTTTTTCAGTACATTTAAAGAATTCACAGCGGTTAACTTTTAAGAGCGAATTTAGATAAATGCATAATAATGGGTCGGTAAATGCTGCCCTCGCTTTAGGCGTACCGAAATATTTACATTTGTGTCGTCATTGCCTTATAAGTCTTATTCTCGGCGAAAGCTGGTGTACGAAAGTAACCTACTCAAAGTAACTACGATTTACTTCGCATCAACAGAACGCTTTTAACTGGGAAACTACGTACAACGGTCTCAAACTCTATAAAGGCATACCAGCTGAAGATTAATAATAATAATAATAATAATAATACTCTCCCTAATTCACCCCCTTACGAGTGAATTTCAACCCCTGAAGTCGACTGAACGATTTGTGTAGGGGAAGGGACGGCTATTATTATTATTATTTGCCGTGGCGCTCCGGGGCGACTTAAGATGATTGATGGTGCCATTTGACTTACAGGTGAGGAAAACCCGGAAAACCTCACCCACCATCAGATTAGACAGGAACTTTCATAAGACGACAAACCAAAAAAAACTTTAACTCGTTTTTATAAAAGTGTGAAAGAAAATCTCATATAGTAACGCCCGGTTCAGGTTTTACATATAGGTAAATTTAAACATTCTTTAATTACGATATTAGTGTGATTATCAGTGTAGAATATGACAATAAATCATAAACTCAATAATTATCGAATATAATTCATGGAACCACCAACATTTCTGTACCAAACTAATAGATGCAATATTTATATGGGAGGATACATTCTTCTTATATAGATATATTTGGTTATGTCATTTGTTGTGTACTTTTTGTTGTCATTTCCCAATAACATTTTAATAACACAGAAGACAATAAAAATTTTACAATACTAGGCTTTATTCCACTGAACTGCATAAGGTGCAATTTGCATATATTTGAAACTACAAAAATTCGTATGCACACTACGAATGGTAAAAAGGCGTTTTATATAACATATTAAAAATTTTAACAATTTTATTATTTATTTATTTTAATTTTATAAATAGATCTGAAAAACTTTTATTATTAAATGTAGAAAACTAATAGATAGATTTCTTTCAGTGTTTTTGGTGTAATTGAAACGTGCCAATCACTAAGAGATTAGTTATACAGACATAATGTGAGCACCTAAATTATGGAATGAACCAATAGTTTTGAAAACATTCGAATTTTGCTTTACAAACGAGATATCACACGACCCATACTTTTATTTGAAATTCGCCAATTACGTCGTCACTCCAACGCCGATGAATTTTCCTCAAAATTCGACTGTTTTCAGAAAAATATAAATGTTAATTATCAATAGTATCATGATTGGGTTATTAAATTTCTTTCTGTAAATCTGAAGTTAGTTGTAAACCGTAAAATTACATACTTTGTGTTAGCTGTATGAAAATGAAAGTATAATTCAATAATTGAGGTACTTATTTCCAATAAAAAAAAAACTGAAAATATTAAAAGTAGACAATTTGCAGCTATAGTTCCATCACTAGTAATATAAGGCTGTCTAATTACTTATTTGAAAAGCTATTAGTATGACATCTATACATCTTCAGAGCAGCGAACGTGTTAAATTAAAATTTATCCTAATTATTTATTTATTCAGTTTTAGTCTTAGTCTTGAGTTTCTTTAATTTCTTTAAACCATCTAAATTGCCTTTTAATAAATTACTGTAAGCAACCTGGAATTTGTTAATGTCTTTTTGATGAATTACAGTTGCAATTTTCTTTGATCTAGATTTTGCTCTAACTAAACACATATGTTCTTGAGGTTCAGGAAGTGGAGGGCTTCCTGCTCTTGGAATTGGACGAGTCCTTCCATTATCTAGAAAATAAATGAATACAGGTAGTATATTTAAAAATAATTCTTCATATTTTATAACTGTAAATACACTGCCCAAATAATTTAAACAAAATATGTTAGTGACCTAAATTGTAAATGGATTCTAACATCCAAGCATTTTTAAATATTTACCCACCTGTAATCCTTAAAAGATAGAAACAACAATTTACAGAAAATATTAAGGTGGGCGATATATTTATCAAACACACTGTAGACCATTATGGTGATTAAAAAAATTCAAAAAAATGAGGTTATATTTCACCAAATCATTTACAAATTAAATATTCATTAAAATTTATAGGTAAAACATGAAATCGATAGAACATGTAAACAATGTCAGATTACAGATATTTTGAAATATCAGTAATTAAATAACGGATTGTGAAATATCGCCCAACTCTATTCAAGATTAATTAAAGTGTACTCATGTTAAGGTAAGTTTTAGAGATCATTTGTTAATTAAGCAGTAAGAGAAGTAACACATGCAGTTTGGGCTAACTGTATGAAGCAAACAGGAAAGTTAATTAAAGGTTACTGGGCAAAGCTTATAATGTATGATGAAGATAAAATGATGACGATGAAGAGAATACTGTTTCAGTAAAGAGAATAAATGATTATTAAACTAAGGTACAGCAGAGCGCTGATAATTCGGATTAATTGTGACTGGGCCCTGTACAGATTATCAAAATGTTCGAATTTTCGTTTGAATTCACAATAAAAATAAAAATTGTTAAAACCCTTAATCATTCACTTTTGTGGTTAAATAATTGAGCAGATAAATAAAACCATTAATTTATATGAACTTATAATGTATTTTAATGAAAGAATATACATGTATACATGTAATGTACAATATGTATTCTTTTATTTATTTTTATATATTGATTTTTATTTCAACACTTCCCCCCTCACCTAAAATGTGAAAATCCAAAACCCTGAAACACATTATTATTTATTTGTGATGAGTAGCTACAATTTCAATTTTTAAGTTCCACCCTTTAAAAAAACGATACTCCCATATCTACAAACCCATCCTCCCTGTTCCCCCCTTTTAAAATGTAAAAATCCAAAATCCTGAAATACGTCATTATTTTAAATGATGGGTAGCTACAATTCCATTTTTCAAGTCCCTACCTTTAAAAAACCTATACTTCCATACAAACTTTTACCCCATTTCCCCCCTTAAAATGTGAAAATACAAAAACCCTGAAATACGTCATTATTTATTTATTTATGTTGAATAGCTACAGTTCCAATTTTCAAGACCTGCCTTCAAAAAATTCGATACCCTTATACAAACTTTCACTCCTCGTTTCCCACCTTTAAAATGTGATTTGTATAAAATCCGTTCTTAGTGGGTGTCTACATCGAAAAAGGTGTAACTATGCCAAATTTCAAGTCAATCAGGCTCATAGTTTTGGAGATCTCTTGATAAGTCAGTAGTGGTATTTTGCTTATATACAGGGTGATTCACAACTATTGGGACATATGCTAATGGCATGTTATTTTGACCAAAATATGGCGATAGGGCCAAATATACCTTGATAAAGATTTACTGTGGAATAAGATTTCATGGTGTTAAAGTTGATTTTTTTTTTCGTTTTTTTCTGATGTCACATTTATGAATTGTTATCAAAATCGGCATAGAGGCATATCTTTGGATAAGGAATATTATTTCACATTTTTACAGGGGGCGCCACGTGATTGATTCCTGATGATAAAGTTAAGTGGTAGTTTTTTTTTTTTGATAAAACTTTTTAGTGTTTTTGATTAGAAATGATGTAAACATAAGTTCTACATAATATTGGTACTTTTGTTTAAACACGATAATTTCACCCGTTTTCGAGAAAAACGCAATTGAACAATTCATAAGTCTCAGATGGAAATTTAAAAAAATATTATTTCATTTATGTTAAGTCTGCTTTGCAGTGTCATATAATTGTGTCTGGTACATGTCATTTCTTGTCAGTAAATTATTTTTGCTTATAGTCTATTATTATTATTTAATGCTCTGTATCTTATTCCACAGCAATATTTTATTAAGGTACCTGTATTTGGCTCTATCCCTATATTTTGGTCCAAATAATCTGCCCTTGGCCTATCTCCCAATAGTTATAAATCACCCTGTATATATAATATAGATTCGCATTGTTTTATATTAAGCAGATAGAGCTGTTGGATCAGTTGTCGTGTTAGAAAGAGCAAAAAGAGTGGTTTGGGCGAGATTGTTTATTTACACACATTTCATGAATGAACCAGGACGGTCAATTTTTGAAAGTCGGACATGTCGGAAATTTGATCTATGTGGTAAAACATCTCATGCTCAATATTAACTCAGATAAAAAGGTATTTATAAAATGGACCATAGTGCCAAATAACCCATCCCATTTCACAATATAACATATCACCAAAGTGTACTGTTTACAAAAGAAGATATAAGATACTTTGTGCTTAACGTTATAAATCTAGAAACAGTACTGTCTCTTACTTAGTATCCGCCCGAGATGAAAATAGTGTAGAATAGGGCAAAGTGTAGAACAGCACATGTGAGGTCTAAATGTTTATGTGTTTTAATTTAAGAATACATTTCAACATATATTGATACGTTTTAATACACTTACACCTTTTAAATGTCATCGTAACTGATCCATCCGAACGGGCCTTTTGAAATAATTTTGTTAACTCTAAGAGAAACTGAAAAATAATTAAATTAGTTAAAGAAATGATTAACTCAAATAGTAGCCTAATCTTACTGAATCATTTTCCAATAGAACCATTATTTAAATAGATTTTATCAAAAAACAGAAAATCTCTGATGAAAACAGCATATGTTTTTTTTTCGAAAGTCAAAAGTGACAACTGCCAAAAAACTGACATCGTGACATCTGACATGACAATTAAAATTTGGCGTAAAATGAGTTCAGAATGGTGCTTGCTTATGGTAGAGTAGTGTTTCCGATACCCAGTGACGTTCTGTTATAAAAGGGCAAATGTAATATTCGTTATCTTTTATACTTGTGATATTTATTCAATAAAAAATATTTTAAGCAAAAGAATGAACTCTATAACAAAAAAATATAAAACGTCTTTTCCTATGAACATTTAACTGGTTGAGGGTTGAGTTAGTAAAAGCGGCATCAAATATGCAAAAGAGTTAAAAAAATATTTTTTTTTATCAATTTTCAGAATAATTGCAGTTTCCTATTTTTTAAATTATTAAACTCAACCAGCAGATTTTCAATATTTATGTTTTTGTTCTCTTTTTCAAATGCTAAATGGGTAAGGTTTGCCCGTCTCGGATGTAACATTGACCTCCGCTGAGGTGGCTGAGGTTTATCAATTCTAGTAAGGGCAGAAAAACTGGATTCACAAAGAGCCGTACTAGAGGCGAAAGTACGCCAAGTCACTAGAAATTCATAAGTTTCTTTAAAAGGAGTGTTTTGCCTAAAAATACACTGAAAAATATCGGGATTCTCTGCAGCATTCTCGTTTTTCTGTCGATTTATATATTTCTTGACGACTTCTACTTCCGCAGCACTTGTTAATTGAATGTCCAGTTCGACCAGTGGTTGATATTTTTCAATATCTAATTTTTTTTCTTGACATAATAGCTTTAATTAAATCATTGTTGTCGTTAAATCTACGTCTTAGCTCTACTAATATTATGTCAAGAACTTCAAAAAATATTTATTTGAAATCTGCTTCGCTAACGACTGTAGATCTCATAGGCTCGGTAAGTACAAAATGTTCTAACACTTTGCTGGGTTTTCTTTTTCTTGGGGGTGATGGGTCTTCTGAATCAATAATTAAAAATTGTACGTTCATTATATTAACGAGCCGGTGGTACTCATCATTATTTCGCTTTTCTTCAAGCTGAGACTATTTTCATCATGTCAGTCAGTGTGGCCTCCCTGCTTTGTAGAATTTTGTCCGTGCGTGTACTGCTTGCTATCTATCAGTAAGCAGTTTTAAGTTTTAACAAAATATCTTGGTTTGACACTACAGGGAAATTAGGGGAATTACCGAAATAAAATTAATGGTTATCCGTTTTCCGATTTCCAGTTGCAATTTATTGTCTGTGGCTTTGTGTTTATTATGTTTTAATTAAAATGGACAGTAAGCAATAAGTAACTGTTAGTAAAGTATTTTCTTGTAAGAGAATATAAGTGACTCAGAACCATTACTAAAAATATATTGATATAACGGTTCTACTATAAAATTTTTATAGTAAGTATATTTTTTCCCAATTCACATTTTCCAAAAAAAATCAATACAATTTTAAAAATCGTCGATGCGACTCATTGTTCATTGTTTGTATTTTTCAACAGCCGTTAATCGCGCTCCTATATATGGGCAATTTTCTAGGGGGGGCGCAGGCAAGCTTTAGGGAGGGCTCAGCCGCCCCTGGCGCCCCCCTCGATACGGGCCTGGTATCAGGAAAAAGGAAATAAGGTGGTGTAACTGGTGTAATTTACACTGGTAGACACTGCACCAACAGCGAACGAAAGAACCTAATTTGACTTTTGATCACCTGACACCTTACTCGAAATTGTCACATGTCCATGTCACATGACTGACCTACCTACTCATTTTACATAAAAATATAAAATTGTAACTAGTCCAATTTAAAAAACAAAATGCCTTTCTGTGGCCCCAAATTGTCTTTATGTGGCGTTATTTTGAGTACTTGGGGAATTGTCCAATTGGTAAGAAAGAATTTTTTTATAACGAGTTGATTTTTACTGATTTTACATATTTATAGGCGTTGATGGGTATTTTCTACTGGATTGGAGCTGTGGCTCTAGCAGAAGATATTCCAGAAGTAGAATACAAGGGAGATTTAGATGCCTTTTATACTGATGTTAATAAGGGCTTTCAACAGGTCAGTATTTCTGAATAGCGAAAGATAAGAACATCGTAAAAAATAAGTTTTTTCGCATATTATAATAAATTTTATTTACTTATTTTCTAAGTATTTTAACTGTTCTATTAATCACTATTGATATAGTGCTTAAATTCAAATCATGAAGGAGCAGAGAGACTCAACATTCATGTAGAACCAGCAATAATAAAGTGCTTTTCAGTTTCTGATTATAATAAAGTTTATTTACTGAAAGAAATACATTACAAAATACAAAGAGCAAAGTACAAATAATAATCCTAGTAATTAAACAACCTGTGCAGAATAAGTCTTGAGACTCGTATGCAGACCTAAAGTAATTTTGTGTTTGGCTCTATTTTTTTACAGCACGGTTGGAATAAAACCTGATGTGGGATCTGGTGAGTAGAGACGTCGCTTTTGGCAGGAGCAGCTTGATACGCTTCCTCTGTTTCAAGTGAACATGGACTCTATCTCACCAAGATATATTTTCCAAAAGCCATATAAAGTTATAACAGATCAAATAAAAGAGCCAGAAGTGGCAGGTTCAATTCATATCTACAATGACAGTTCTAAAACAAAACAAGGCTCAAGATGTGGAATATACTCCAGATCCTTAAACATAAAATAGGCTGTAAGCACTAGTGCCTGTGTAGTTCAAACCAAGCTCATGGGAATTTCCAAAGCAGCAAAACAATATCACTGGAACTAATATGTTTAACTATACAGATATCAGACAAGCACTACTCATTCTGAACAGACCATAAATTTACTCAGGGTTGGTACTAGAATGTCACAAAGAAGTATCCATCAACAATGGATGGATCAAAGGTCATGCCACATCAAAAAGAAACTCTTGCTGATTCACTAGCCCAGAAGGCAGCGAAATAAATAATTTTTGGAACTGGCAATTCTATTGGACTGACAACATTGGTAGTGACAAACCTAATTAAAGAGTATATGAAATTCAAGGAAAGATGAGATGAAACAAGAAGCTGAAAAAATGCCAGGGAGCTTTTAAGTTATCCTTAAAACACTACAGTAAACAAATACTTGACTGTAACAAGAGCTATGGCTAGACAGAATCTGTGCCTGATCACAGACATTCTGACTGGTCATTGCCAAGTGCAGAAGCATCTCCTAGCATGGGGTTGTCAGAATCCGCACTCTGCAGGGTGTGTCAACAAGAAGATGAGACCATTAAGCATATCCTCTATGATTGCCCAACACTCATTTATTAAAAGATTGGTGTTCGGCGAGAATTGGCTAACATCTGCTGATATAAAAGAAGCACCTCTTGGTGATGTTGTCAACTACATCAAGTGTGTAGGCTGGCTGACGAGCTATAAGGTTCCTATCAACTTAGGAGGATGCACAATGGGTCTAGTGGAACCTAAGTGCCATAGGGGTAACCCATCCTCCAGACTTATAAGAGGTACAGATCTTTTACAGCTGTCATTAAATTGATTTTTTATATCAATACCTGTTTTCCAGACTATTGTGCCATTTGAACATAGTAAATGTGAGCAGTAGTTAGATATTACAAAAGGATGTTTTTTATATTTTTTGTTGCAGTTATAGGTTTTTACCCAATTTTTTTAAATATATTTAGGTACTAAATGGTAAACTGCTTTTCAATTTACTGATATCTACTGTAGTTTCATTGTTACCCTTATCATTTACATTATTTTACATAATATACTAAATGTTTGATTAATGAAAGAGTGATACCCAAAATCAATTCCACATAATATATTTATTGTCCCTAAAAACAGGCATGACTAGTTTCAGCCTATTCCAGCTATCTTCATATTGTTATGCATATTAATTCATTACATTTAGTAGGTTAGTACAGGGTTTCAAAATAAGAAATTACTCTGGCTGTTAGTGGCTGTAGAATGTCTCAAACTATTTGTGGCATAATCTTTGAATTTCATGCCATTTCAGTTTGACTTTAAGTCGATTTTATTTAAGGTTAGTGAAGTGTCAATGTCAGAAACTAATGTCATAATTATGTTAAGCCTTATGGTGCGTTTGATTTGATCATCGGAGATCTCCGAGCGCTTCAAAAGTGTTTGAATTGATACTCCGAGAGATCCCTAAAGTGTTTGTTTCGCTTTGGAGCGAGAACATAGAGCGAGAACTCAGAGCAGAAAGATCGAGAAGAGGGAGAAATTTGTCTTTGTCTCTACCTATCTCTTTTGAATTAACTTACAAACAAATTTGAATCTCAAAATTAAAGACCAGACAAGAAGTCAACAAATAACTTAGCCGCTTTTGTCTTATAGCTAAAATTATTCATCATAAAAAAACACAAAATGTTTGTTTGGAAAATACATTTTTTCTGTCCAGATCTAATCACCAGTCATGGAGTATGAGAGCGAAGCGGGCATTTGTGGTAAATGTTGCATTTCAGGGCCATTACCCCTTATTATTAAAAGTTTTTCCATTTTCTTTACTTTTTGCTCACTATTTTAACATAAAAACCAGAAACAAGAATCACAAAAAAGCGAGGTTATGTTTTTTACTCTGTTTTATTTGATTTGATTCAATGCTCTATTGTGACGTCATCACTTCTCGGTCTCCTCGACGCTCGCTCGATCGAGTTTCAAATCAAACGCCCCTTTAAAAGCAAACCAGACCTCTCAGGAAAGCAAAAATGTTTTAAGGATTTTCTAACAGAAAATTGTATTTATTATGTGAATACTTCATGATATTTTGAGTGGACAATATTGAGAAGTATAAACATGTGCAAAGATAAGGCAACACTCTAGAGATGTTTAAGAAAAAAATGTGGGAAATCATCCTATTTAAAAACTATATTTATTAAAACAAAAAGCAGCAACTTCTTATAGATTTAATACAGAATGGCATGTATTTTTTTTTGAAATTCCTATTAAAAATTTTCAAAATAAATACTTTTCGAAGGTTTACAAAAAAAGTCAAGGGTTCTCCACCCTAAATTTTGTTATTAATGGTATTTACTGAAAGTTTCACCAAA